TTTGGGAATGTACCACGTCAACGGTTCAACTTTGGAAATGATCATGCAGACAATGGACTCCGGACTAGGTTCGTTCCTCTAAGTCCTTCTACCAATATGACTATGCTATAAAAAAAGGTCAAACAACTTCTATGCAACAAAACTAGACTGCGACCACACAAAAGGCCACATCATCTTAGTTTTTATATCTTCAATCTTAGTTTTAATTCGTAGAAATTGTACATAGGCTTATATATAGATACAGATGGAAGTTTTCGGTTGGTACATTAGGAATACCTATGCAAAATATGTATTTATATAATAAAAATGATATAATAAAATAATCTTTCTGATTATATACGTTGAAGAACTATTCAGTTTCAAAGAGGCTGGGATAAAAGTCTCAATAAAATATGCAATAACTCTTCCCAAAGCATGAAAATGGGCCAAGTTTATATATAAGCTGCTCTATAGGTATTAGTAGTTCTGATTTCTGCTTAATATTGAGGTTTAATCTGCGAAATCTTTAATAAAAATAAATTTGAACCAACATTGGTACACATGGCTGTTAATCTTAGGCTATTCCTCTTTTGTTTATATCCATCATTCCACTCACTAGCAAGTAGGGTTATTAAAGACTAAATACTAGTTAAAATAAAATAAAATGTCACCGGCTACTCTTATACTTGATCTTTCTTTACATCATGTCAGGAAAATAAATCACATTCTTAAAAATAATAATACACTTACTAGCTAATTATGCCTATTGAATTTCGAGAAGAAGGATAATTGTACAAAGATGTATTTTATCTTCACGATATCTAGACCTAATGGACATTTTAGCCTTTGATTAAAAGAATTACGTTTTTTAGATTATTGAGCAAAATTGAAGACCCGCACATTACATTAAAATTAGTAATAGATCGAATTTGCTAAAAATATTCTTACATAAGTCTAGGACATTGTAAGCTAATTCTAGAAAACTGCCCTATAAATCCAAAAAAGTTAAAGCATAAAGTACGGCATAACTGATAGCTCAAACATGAATCCTGTTGAGTCTATGTTCGAAGCATTCAAAAATTATATAAGTCTAGTTTATGAACTTATATAGCCATTAATTAGTCAATTTACGTGAAATTTAACATATTCTTGAGGAAGATGGAAGCAAAATATTTCATTTATATAATCATATGACTCCACAAAGCCACTTAGAAAAGTCACATGCTAAGAAAGCATTATGGAAATGCTATTTTCTAGATGGTATGGCGGTGGCTTGATTTGCCATGAATTTTATTCTGACACGGTTTATGTAACTACTTACAAAGGAACAGTATTTTTTAACCTTATTGAGCTTTTAACAGGAATAATAAACTTACGCTTAAGTTTGAACATACAGGTTCGGAAAATTTATGATCCTATTTGGCTTTAACATTATCTAATTGGAAATGACGTCATTAAAAGCAGCCCTTGATGAACTACTTCTGTTCTCACAGTAAGGATAGCAACAAGAAGGATCGCGATGCAAAGTCTTCGGAGTACTCTATTGAATGCATAACAGTCTTGACTGAAAAAAGCCAGCAGTATTAGTAATAAGGCTGTAATAAATTTTTTTTTTCTTTTACTACATTATATTAAACTTCGGATTGGCTGGCTCTCACTCTCTGCTTCAGAGACATTTGACACCAAATCATAAGATGTCTTATACGAATTTTTTTTATATGATAAAAAGCATATATATCATGTTTAGGGAAGTATAAACCTTCATATGCTTCGTGGGTCTCTGTTAGATAAAATAGTTTTCTCCAAATTCTTTATAATAGTTGCTAAGGAATATTTGGGAATTAAGCTTGCTGTTTGGTAGTACAAAAGAAAAATTTGAATAAGATCGTTGAATGCATTAAACTCTAAATCCTTGTAATTACATTTATTCACATGATTGAGAATTAATCATTCAATTTTTTGTTTCAAATAGTTAATATATCTTATAACTAGTCAGCAAAAAGAATAGTAATACGCATTAAAAGTGTATTCAAATAGGGAACAAGATAAAAATGACAAAATCTCAGCCAGAGAGAATACTTGGTCTAATAATTAGCCATTAGTTTTGCTATTTAAGTCTTTTAAGGAAGACTGTACGAGGCATCAACATCCAACAAGTATCGAGTCTTAATTATGTCGTATGATAGATTCGTATACCCATTTTTGGTTGTTATGATAATAGCCCAGGATCGCAGAGAAAACCCAACCCATTAAATAATGTATAAGATAATAGTAAAAATGTACTACTAGGAGCTGAGCTTGCCGCCCAGAGAGATTGTCAAAAATGACAAAATATAGCGTTTGGAAAATTTGGTATTCACCATATTTAAAGAAAAATGCTAAAGCTCTGTCAGTGAGGCCTTTAAACATTGTAAATTGTTTGCTTGAAGCAGTAATACAATCACTTACCAGCAAGCGTGATAGAGCATCTGCCCATTCTGTCCACAGTGTAGCAGTTCCCCATAGCATCGACAGTCTCCACCAAGTTTGGCATAACTCCTTCCCCTCTTACAACTACTCCGGGAAAGTCGTGTGCCTCACTTGCCAACATCGGCTTGCTCAGATTCTCGGTGACCGGCAGTTTAGGTCGACTTTTCAGGGATCTGCCGCTATCGGTACATGACTCTTCGCCAGATTCCCTTACTTGCGTCCTTTGCAAGGCTGAGTTGCTAGCCACTTTATCTGTCTGGTTAGTATTGCCATAGCGTAGCAGATAGACGGCGGGCTGGTACTGACCGCTTTCCAGATGGATGGGGTAGGCAAGGCGGCCTGCAGAAGTGTAGATAGCTTCCCCGTGTTCTGTGAGGAGGAGACTGCCACCAGCAAAGTGCTGAATTAGGTCAAAATGGGCTATTTTGAAATTGAAGAAAAGTCTTCAAGTATGGCAATATTCTATTATAACCGGGAGAATCGGTGCAAATAACATTATTATGCATATTATTAAACCTCAAGGTCATAAATGATTTCAGTCTATATTTTATCAACTTTATTATTCAGTTATTTTAACCTTTAGTATGACGCTATAATCAATTATATTTGTAAACGTAGTTATATTTAGATACCGAGGAATGGATTAATTTGTATATAGCAATTACAGCATCATCACGATTACCCATTTTTTGATTTATTAATTACTCAGATCAACAGCATTCTTAGGAAGGCAATAAGCAAAATTAATACAGCTGTTCGAATCCCTAATACAGCATTTTAAATGAGTTTTCTATATTCGCTTATCTCCAAATATTGTTGTTACTCGCAAGAGAAGGGTATACTTACTCAACAACATAGCATCGTAATCTACTTTGTCAAATGAGCTGGCATGGAGCTCTTTAAAAAACAAACCTTCTAGGATCTATTGATTGCCAGACAAGCATTCCTGTCCTTTCAATAGAGATATAAAGGATACCTTCCATTAATGTTAAACATGACGCTGATTGAGAGTCCCTACAGTCAGAATTGAAGAGCCAGAAAAATTCGGCATGTGGACGTAATCCAATACGAATGGATATTAATCAACTAGTCATAGTCTAAACACACATCTTTATAGGCATTAAAGAAGAACTCCAATCGTTCAAAAAGTTAATATTATGATTTAATCAACTTTAAAGGCCAGATAGGACAACTTAAAGAATATTTTAATTGCATGATAAAATTCATACTAATATATATGATATTTGCTAAGGTAAATTAAAATATAAGGATATGAAACCCAGGCAAAATAAAAAGAGAATAGGCTTAAATAAATTTAAATAAATAAAGTAATTAAAGCTTAATGTAGAAATAAGTCTATAGTAAATATTAATAGTTATTTGAATATGTCAAGACCGAGCTAGTGTAGCCTTTAGTATGGTCCCTGTCTTGTTTCGTAGTATAGGCGTATTTTAGCCTCGTCATCGCGACTTGCTCGTATTGTCAGGGCAACTTAGATGAGATCAGCTTGTCCGGAGTCCATAGTATCCATTACAATTTCCAGTGCTTGAACGTGGACTTGGTAAACCTCAGACGTTTCGCAGGCCTCGTAGTCAGCCCTGTCAGTGAGCATCAAGCTACAACTCGCCAAAGAGACAATTGAAGTCGACCCTGTCTTCTACTGAACAGTTGCGGTATCTAGCATTCTGTCCTGGACATTTACTTTTCATATATCCTTCATAAATATGAATGTTGCCTAATTTCTTTGATTTTGGGCATACTAACCAGAAGATTTTGATATTAGTCTATCAGTTTGGATAAGGATATTTCGCAAATTACTTTATTATCTTGAAGGACATTTTGAGGTTCAAGTTGTGCACTATTTAGTAGGGCACTGATGACTTAATTTTTCTATGTTCGTCTGGCTCACCAAATACATATACATAACTTTTTGGGTATCAAATAATACACTCTATTTTAAAAAACTAGCTATAAATACTTCGATAAAGAACTTGCTTACGGTTTAGATCCCCTATTTATTCTTTAATGTAATATTTGTTTTGGTGAATACTAACTCTCTTTAAAAGCTTAAAATATAGCTAAAGGTCAATCCTTTCGCCATAATTCTACTTTTTGTCATTATTCTATTTAAAAAACTATTGTCCAATTTGAGTACTATGAGTTGTACAAAAAGATGCATACATATTTCATATTATTATTATTTTCGCAAAATTTGGTAATAAGCTACTTCTGTTCAATGGACGGCCAGCAAAATTCATTTATTTTATGGTGAGAAACATTTACAATATCATTAAAGTAAGCTGCATGATGAATTTCCCATAACATATTTGAGCACTTAAGTATTGTAATAGTCTTGTGGTACCTTGAAGCATGTTAAATTATTTAGACTGTATAATCTGAACCAATTACTCCTTGGGGACTTGCTGTTAACATCCTATATCATTCCCAATTTACTGAATTACATCACTTATGGGCTTACAGTCGCAAAAGATTTATGTAGTCACAAGGCTTGTATCGTCATCATTTCCAAACTAATTTCATATTCGTGATAATTAATCTGTTACTTTGAAGAGGTTTAGCCATTATAGCCGTCTGAATTTAACTAGAACTTGGTGAATCAGCTCTTGCTCGGTGAGATGTGATAACAGCATCACCAAGCTGCTCTGTAAAGAAATGCGTTTCATGCAATCCGAAAGAATAATTATTCGCTAAAAACATCTGTTTGAACTTTGTCTTTTATCTTTTTATAAAATCTTGTAAAACATAGAATATGCCTTATGTCTGCAAATATTTTATACTGTATCTATTTAAAATTTCCCACTATCAATTAATTTTTAATATCTGGTCAACAAGCATCTGAGTTTAAGGGTGCTAAGCTTTATAAGTGTGAATTTTTATCATACGTTAATTAAATCATTATAGAAAAGTTAATTGGTCATAGTTAAACAATTAGCTTCTGATAAATTGGCTATAGTCGCAAAAACGTGAATTTACACAACAGCAAAGAGCCTATTTAGGTAGCATCTTTATCTTTTTATAAGGAAAATCTAAAAGTCTCAGCGCTATTGTGTAACAACCAGAAATCGTTTATTCCAACTTTACTTTGAACAAACTATTCAAAAAAAACTTGTCCATGAAAATATAAATCTTAAATTATAAACGAAAAATAATCTAGACGTGGATTGAACTCCTTTTTTCAACTTGGTCGTATTGTCAGGGAGACTTAGTTTGACGCACTTTGGTCGAAGTCCTCTGCTATAGTGTTTGTCATAATTGCCAGCGTTGGACCGTGGACGTGGTATCTTTACCATCAATGAGTCTTACCATTCTCAGCACCAAGCTACAACTCTTCAAAGGGACAAGTTAAGTCAATCCCATGACCAAAATTTCTGCAGAAAACAGTTTAACTATCACAAAAGTGAATATACGTATCTTCCAAAATTACGGCCAATACTTTAAAAAAGAATTGTTAAGGTGACTACGAAGGAAAGAACAACACTCTTCACAAGGTGGATTGCTCGGGCACTCAGTATAGAATAAGACCCCTGCCAAAATAAATCTTTTGGCGAAATGAGGAGAATAATCGGCATAGAAATCGAAGAACATCAAAGTATTTGCAATAAAATGGAACACATCGCAGAGACTGAACACGAGATTAATTGGAAGTCAAACTCATATGTTGAAAGCGCATATAGACGGAAAAATGTAGAAGTAAATGATATTTTGGGTATTAAACTTTGGCTAACTTGGAGAAAGGGGTGGGAAAGTTGCGAAATCAAGGCAAGACGTTCTTAGCGAGTGTAGTCTGCTCGACGAACCAACTACAACTTTGGGGCCTGGCGGTCCCGGGTAAAC